CGGTGCTGTAACCGATTGGGCTTCTTTTTCCTTTGCATTACGGCGCCGCTTCGGACCCACCGAGTTTGACGATCCGGCAGGAGCTTTATCCAAACTGACACAGACTGGTTCAGTTTTGGACTATCAAACCACATTCGAAGCACTGAGCAGCCGCGTTCCCGGCTTACATGCGGACATTATTAAGAGCATGTTCATTAGTGGTCTCAAACCCCGCATTCGCCGTTCGGTGTTACCTCTGCGCCCTCATGATTGCAATGAGGCCTTTGCTTTAGCTCGCGTCTTTGAGGACCAACAATCCGATGAGAGACCGCCACGTCCATGGACCCCCAAGCCCACTTCGCAGTTACTGCCATCGCCCACACCTTTAAATCCACGGCCCCTAAATACCATTCCACCTATTCCAATTAAGCTGTTATCAGCAACAGAACGTCAACAACGACGCGAACGTGGTCTATGTTACAACTGCGATGAACGGTTTATACCTGGCCACAAATGCAAGGGCCGTTCCACTCTCCTTCTTCTCGAAGGATTGGAAGAGGCACAACAGGGGGAACCTCCCCCCATACCCCTAGAGGAACCTCCGGATCAAACCCCAGAGATGGACCCCAACCCTGAAATCAGCTTCAATGCACTATTTGGGCATCCTTCTTCCCATTCATTTCGTATTCAGGGCACCATTTCCCATCAACCTATCCAAGTGTTGATAGACAGCGGGAGCACTCATAATTTCATTACGGCTCGCATGGCCACACATTTGAATCTACTGGTCCATACCATACCCCATTTCAAGGTTCACGTAGGTAATGGTGATACCCTTTCATGTGAATCTGTATGTCGTTCTGTTTCCCTGCAATTGCGATCTCACATGGTTTGTTCAGACCTATATGTATTAGCTTTATAGGGTGCAGATGTGGTGTTGGGCATTCAATGGTTAGCCACTTTGGGCCCAGTAACTACAGACTATAACCATCTTACAATGACGTTCACCTTCAATCACAACCCCATTACCTTACATGGTTCTAAGCCTAGCACACCAGATACTATTACACCTCAATTACATAAACTCATTGCCCAGAATAGTATTTCATCCTGCCTCATGTGTTTAACAGCTGATAACACCAACACCAGCATAACCCCACCATCCCACCATGCGGCCCTCCTTTCCCTCTTGGAGAAATTCCAAGACATTTTCGATACACCTAACCAACTACCACAAGATAGACCCCACAATCATCACATCACACTCCTTCCCAACGCCAAACCTGTGCAGGTACGTCCTTATCGCTACCCCCATTTCCAAAAACAAGAAATCGAAAGACTGGTCACAGAACTTTTACAATTGGGTCATATTCGGCCTAGTCACTCTCCATTTAGTTCCCCGGTGCTACTTGTCCGAAAAAAAGATGGTACGTGGCGTTTTTGTGTGGATTACCACGCCTTGAATGCCGTCACGGTGCAAGACAAGTTCCCGATACCCACTGTGGATGAATTGTTGGATGAGTTACATGGTTCCATCATTTTTTCCAAATTGGACTTACGATCGAGGTACCATCAAATTAGGATGCATACTGAGGACATCAACAAAACAGCCTTCAGGACACATCATGGTCACTTTGAGTTCTTGGTTATGCCTTTTGGCCTATCCAATGCACCCTCTACATTTCAAACAACAATGAACGAGGTTTTTGGACCTCTGTTGAGGAAATTTGTGGTAATTTTTTTTGATGATATTTTAGTTTACAGTAACAATTTGCAGGATCACATGACCCATCTTCATGCGGTTTTTACTATCCTGCGCACACATTCTTTGTTTGCTAAGCGCAGCAAATGCACCTTTGGAGTGGAGAGCATTCATTTCTTGGGTCACATTATTTCAGCTAAGGGGCTTTCACCTGACCCTTCAAAAATTACTGCAATCTCAGAGTGGCCTACACCTCAATCAGTAACGCAGTTAAGAGGATTTTTAGGCTTGGTAGGTTACTATCGCCGTTTTATTGCATCCTATGCGTCTGTGGCTTCACCTCTTACAGACTTGCTTACAAAAGGTGGATTCTACTGGTCTCCGAAGGCTGAAGATGCCTTTGCCAAGCTTAAAACCCTTCTCACCACAGCCCCAGTATTGGCCCTTCCAGATTTTTCAAAGCCCTTTGTGATTGAGACCGATGCCTCAGGCACTGGTGTGGGCGCCGTACTAATGCAGAATGCTCACCCTATTGCCTACTTTAGTCGAAAGCTCTCACCGACCATGCAAGGTAAATCCACGTATATTCGAGAGATGTTTGCGGTCACATCTTGTGTGAGTAAATGGCGCCATTACTTATTGGGGGCACCATTCATTATTAAGACAGATCACAAGAGTCTAGTGAATATGTCAACTCAAGTGATTCAGTCGCCCGAGCAACAACAATTCCTTTCGAAATTGTTGGGATTTCAGTACTCTATTTCGTACAAGGCTGGCAAGACCAACGTCGTGGCAGACGCCTTGTCCAGGCCGATCGAAGAAGCCGGATCTCCTTCTTCTATACTACTATTATCAGTTCCCACTAGTGATTACTTAATTACAGTCATCCAGGAATTGCAAAATGACAAATTTACACAGCACATTTTAAGTGAATTAAAGTTGAACCCCAACACGGTGTCCCAGTGGCGTCTACAAGGTCAGCTACTCTTCCATCGTGGCCGATTGTTCCTTCCAGCTAATTCTAGCCTCATCCCGCAATTACTTCAGGAATTCCACTCATCTCCAGTAGGGGGACATGGGGGCATCCGACGTACTTTGAGACGCTTAGGACAACATTATACATGGAAGGGTATTAGTCAACAGGTGAAGAAGTACATAAGGAATTGTGAAGTATGTCAGAAGATTAAGGACTCAAATCACGCACCTTATGGTCTGCTGCAACCCTTACCCATTCCTCAACATATCTGGACAGATCTCACTATGGACTTCATCACACATTTGCCTTCTTCACAGGGTTTTACTACTATCTTCGTAGTAGTTGATCGCCTCTCCAAAGGTGCTCATTTTGTTCCCTTACCAGCTCACTACACAGCAGCAAGGGTGGCTACTGCGTTCTGGGACAACATCGGTAAACTTCATGGGTTACCCAAGTCCATTATTTCGGATAGAGATCCGATATTCCTGAGCCGATTCTGGCAATCTCTGTTTCAGCTACAAGGGACTACACTGAACTATAACAGTGCATATCACCCTCAATCTGATGGGCAAACAGAACGAGTTAACAGAGAAATTGAACAATATTTGAGGGGTTTCACACACGCAAAACCAAACAGATGGGGTCGCTTCCTTACCTTGGCCGAGTATCACTACAACACGGCTTTTAACAGAAGCATAGGCATGACTCCCTTTCAGGCTATGTTTGGCCGTCTACCACCATGTCTCCTGGAATATACCTTGGGAGCATCACCAGTCGAAGCAGTGGATGATGATCTGCGAACCAGAGAAGGTATATTAGCAGTACTCAAGACTAATTTACAGAAAGCTCAACTTTGTATGAAGAACCAGGAAGATAAAAACTGGAAAAACCTCACCTTTACTGTTGGTGACTTGGTTTTACTCCGTCTTCAACCGTACCGTCAGCTGTCAGTTCATCGACGCTCATCCCAGAAACTAGCTTTACGCTTCTATGGACCCTTTCCCGTTCAAGCTTGTATTGGTGAGGTAGCGTACCGCTTACAACTGCCACCTGAATCATGAGTCCACCCAGTGTTTCATATTTCTCTTTTAAAACCATTCTATAGTGACCGCCATTTCACTCTACATCAGCTACCTCCGACGACCGCACAACTTCCACCAGCCCATGTCCCTACGATGGCCCTTGATCATCGAACCATCCGCCGTAATGGTCGTGATGTGCCTCAGGTGCTGCTTCAATGGAGTGATCTTCCACCGGAAGAGTCGACATGGGAAGATATGGCCTTACTGGATCCTACGATGCAAAGTTCTTTCACTATGGCCAGACCAGGTTCCAATGAGTTGTCTTCAAATTCTGATGAAAGTCCTGCTGTTGTTAAGACACCTTCTCACGCTAACAACATCATCACCGTGCGTTCTGAATCGTTGGATCATGACCATCCATATTCTACGCCCTTGTCCTCTCAGCATGTGCCACCACTTATGGCTCCTCGGTCAGAGCGTTTGCTCCTATCACCTCATACAGCTCAGCTTCCCCTTGTTCGATGTGGGCCCTTGGAAGCAGTGCAACCCAACATCGCGGACGATGTTCGTTTTCCAGAACGGGCGAATGTTGGGCCATCTACTAGGCCCATGCGCACTATCCAGACTCCTAAGTACCTAAAGGACTATGTCTAATTAATTAGATCAGGGATACTTCAGTCATTAAGACCTTCTAGAAGTTTAGTTGCTTTTCTGTCAATTCAGTACGCGTTTGTTATGCTTTGCTACAATTCTGTTAGAACGGTAATCACTTGGTGATATATATCCATAGCTGACGAATGAAATAGATATGAAGTATTATTCTATTCTCTTTCTTTCCTTCCTTATCTCTTTCTCCTCTCGTTGGTCCGTTCTGATTATAGAGCCCTACATAGCGTCGGGAGTCTATGGCTTCTGTACTGGATGACCCACTTGTAAAGTCAAGATATGTAACGCTATTCTCTAAGTTTTAAAATTAGCCCATTGATATTTTAAAATGATTTTACTATACAATACTCAAATAAAATTAAAATTTTCTCCAATTAAATTCCTCTAAGATTAACTATTTTAGATCAGAGAGATTATATTTATAATTTTTTTTTTACAACCTCTTACAATTATATTTTAAGACCATTGATTTTCGCCAATCAACGATTATTATTTTTGCACATTAAACTCATTAATTAATTATTAATTCACAATAAATGATAAACATTGATTGACGAAAATTAACAGTGTTAAAATATAGTTGTAAGAGGTTGTAAAAAAAAGTTGTAAGTATAATCTTTCTCATTTTATATAGTAGATAAAATGTTTTACGCTTTTATCCCAGAAGAAGAAGAAGAAAGTTAAAAAAAAAAAAAAAAAAACAGTAATAAATAAATAAATAGATTAGATTAAACAATCGGAATGCATCCAAACAAGGCCTTCATTAGCTGGCTCCTCCGCCTCACCGGTCGGACCAAGTCCCAACAACTCTCTCCGCCGCTGAACGATCCACCCTCATCCTCCACAGCCGACATCGGCAGAGGCAGCCGCGGCGGCTGCTTCCTCCTCTCTTGCCTCGTCTTTATGTCACTCAAATCCATCTGTAACGGGAACTTCACCATTCCAAACAAACCGTTGCGATGCTTCCGGCTACTGCTGTTACTGTCGCTTCTCCGCCACCGGTTCTCCCCGGTCGACACCGACCGGACAGGGCCAGCAGCTCGGTTGGGCCGACAGGAAGAAGATTCCGATCTCAATAGGAATGGGCTTTGGTTTTTCCCTACAGGCTGGGTTTCGCGAGTTATGACCTTGCCCCAGAAAACGACGTCGTTTGGAACAGCAGAACTAGAAATAACAGTGGGGAACTCGAAGTCGAAGCTGTCCGTGTCCATCTTTGAAACGGATCTGGATTCGGGTTTTGTATTCGGATCAGTGAGTTGGAGCGAAAAAGGTTTACGTTCCATGTTATTCCTATAGGAGAATGAAAGAAGAGAAAGTGAATTTTGAAGGAGTTGTGAATGGTGAATGAGTGAGAAACATATATATATATATATATATATATATATATATATATATATATATATATATAAATGGGGCAGAATCTTTTTATGTCAGTGTCAAATTTTATATTTGACATCAAATCTCAACCGTTGATTTCCGTCAATCAACGGTTATCATTTATTGGTTATCATTTATTGGAATTAATAAGTAAGTGTAATTCCCAATAAATGATAATTGTTGATTGGCGGAAATCAATGGTTGGGATTTGGTGTCAAATTTCAAAATTTGACACCAGTGTTAAAGGATTCTATTCCTATATATATATATATATATAGACAAGATCATCTTACACCGGTGTAAGAATGATAAGTCTTATACCAAATCGTAATCATTGATTTCCGTGCATCCAACGATTGAGATTTATTGGGAATTAAAAATTAATTAATGATCCTGGCTCATACAGGGATAGGATCATTTGACACCGGTGTCAAACTTTGAAATTTGACACCAAATCTTAATCGTTGATTTTCGTCAATCAACGATTATCATTTATTAGGAATTAATAATTAATTAATAAGTTTGATTCTCAATAAATGATAATCGTTGATTAGCGGAAATCAACGGTTAGGATTTGGAGTCAAAAGATCCTACCTCTATATATGGCCAGGATCATTTGACACCGGTGTCAAACTTTAAAATTTGACACCAAATCTTGTCAATCAACGATTATCATTTATTAGGAATTAATAATTAATTAATAAGTTTGATTCTCAATAAATGATAATCGTTGATTAGCGGAAATCAACGGTTAGGATTTGGAGTCAAATTTTAAAGTTTGACACCGGTGTCAAACTTTGAAATTTGACACCAAATCTTAACCGTTGATTTTCGTCAATCAACGATTATCATTTATTAGGAATTAATAATTAATTAATAAGTTTGATTCTCAATAAATGATAATCGTTGATTAGCGGAAATCAACGGTTAGGATTTGGAGTCAAATTTTAAAGTTTGAGACCGGTGTCAAAGGATCATATCCCTATATGGGCCAGGATCATTTGACACCGATGTCAAACTTTGAAATTTGACACCAAATCATAACCGTTGATTTTCGTCAATCAACGATTATCATTTATTAGGAATTAATAATTAATTAATAAGTTTGATTCTCAATAAATGATAATCGTTGATTAGCGGAAATCAACGGTTAGGATTTGGAGTCAAATTTTAAAGTTTGACACCGGTGTCAAATGATCTTATCCCTATATGGGCCAGGATCATTTGACACCGGTGTCAAACTTTGAAATTTGACACTAAATCTTAACCGTTAATTTTCGTCAATCAACGATTATCATTTATTAGGAATTAATAATTAATTAAAAAGATCAATGGTGTCACATGCTTGCAAATCAGAGACGTTGATCTTTTTTGATCTAACGGCTCTCAAATGAAGTGTCAAAATTAAAATTTGACACCGGTGTCAAAAGATTCTACCTCTATATATATATATATATATATATATATATATATATATATATATATATATATATAGTTGAAATTGAAAGGGAGTGATGAGCACGGCAGACAAAAAAATACTTCATCTAACGCACGGCAGACAAAAAAAAAAAAAAATAGTTCATCTAACGTGGTTGATTGGTTACAATGTTTCTAGAGAGAAAGAACTGTGCTTGACTGGGTCATGGTCATGGGTTTCTAGTGTTTCAACCAAGCAACAACTTTCTTTTGGAAACTTCATTGCGGGTGCATGATTTATTTTATTTGAACTTTGAACTATGATGTTTTTATTATTGTTATTATTATTATTTATGCTTGTTTTGGCACATTCACTAGACGAATTTTTCTTGCATAGGCCTTAGATGCACTTGTGCCCCTACGCAAAAATATTTCATATTGAAGAGGGCTCGTCGGTGGTCCTTGGGAAGAATTTGCCTTAGGCTTTCGGTCTTTCGCACTATTTGGGGAAATTTAGCTTTTATGAAAGAAGCGTATACCTCTAACTACATGGATTAATTGTAAAAGAGTTGTTTAAGTGATGGTTATGAATTTAAGTCGTGATTATGCAGTATTGTTAAAAAATTAGCATGAAGAACTTTGTTGTCATAGTTCTACTCAATTTGATTGGATTAGTTGATTAATCAATAAGTAACCCAGAAATAAAAAAAAAAAAAAAAGAGGATAGGGTATTGGAAACAAAGAGTGTGTTTGATTATGTTTTGATTTTTTTGTTTTTAAAACTGTTTTGTAGAATAGTTTTTAAGAATTGATTTTCAGAATAAAAAAAGGAAAAAATCAGTTTGATAAATTTGTTTTGAAAACAATTTTAAAAGTAAAAAAATAAAAAAATCTGCTTAGTAAATTTGTTCTAAGAACATGTTTTCAGAACAACAAAATAAAAAACTCGTTTAATTGCTATTTTTTTTAAATAATTTCTATTATTATATCTAAAAACTTATATGTATTTTTAAGATAAAAAAATCATATTATAAATCTTTTATAAGACCAATGCAAACCATAACAAATATTTTAAGTTCAATATATTCCACGAGATTACTATATAAATTACTATCAGTCAATATATTATAATTGTAACGAACCAAAGTTAATCTAATCAAAGTCCAATATATTTAATAAGCAAAACATACAAACATAAGTTAGGGTTTAGTGCACTCATAATAAGCCCATACAAACATTGAGTCACTTGAAAATTAATTATCCAAAAGTAAAACCTATTATTTAACAAATCAAATAAACTACACTGCAGAATTGTTACGTTGTGCCCACATCCAATTTGCAATATGATCACGATATGCTGCCATTTCCGCTACACCTTCATCAGATAACCTAGACAAGTTATCATCATTCAAGCTTGTTCCCTCAAGGTTAGAAGTCTCATTCATACCCTTTATTTCTGTAGGATCCATGTCTTCCCACATTCTAAACAAATCATCGCGTAAATTCCACCTGCGTATATAATTATGAATAGCACAACATGCTATCACTATGAGTCGCTGCCTAGAAGGTTTATATAGAGGCATTAGCTTCAAAATAGGAAATCTGTTCTTCAAGACTCCAAAGCATCGTTCAATTGTCATTCTTAAAGATGAATGCCTATAATTGAATAACTCTTCACAACTCCTTGGTTGTCTACCGCGACCAGTATATTCTTGTGCATGATATCTCTCGCCTCTAAAAGGGGGAAGAAAACCTCTGGTGCAAGGATAGCCAGAATCCACAAGATAAAACATACCTGCATTAGCTTTAAATATAAATTATTTACTTCATTTACAGAAGACAAATTCAACAATATGATATTCACCTATAGATGGCCATGGAAATTGTGCATTTGGATTGGTTAGTGAATCAACGAAAACTTTTGCATCGTGTGCACTTCCTTCCCATCCTGAATACACATATGTGAAATTCATATTAAAATCACAAATACACATGACATTTTGTGTGACGATTGTCATTCTACCTCTGCATGATGTTTGTTTCTCAGCAGGAACCCATGCACTTATATGTGTGCCATCAACTGAACCTAAACAATTCTGTAATAAAATAACCCAAATATAAGCAATTAAAAATTAGATCTAAAATAAAAGACAACACGAATAAATATCATAAGTAATAATGTTACATACCTTGAACAATATATGGGATTATTTTTTATTCTATCGGGCAATTCTTTTGACTCTTGCTTTATCAGCTCTTTTTCGAATTGACATACTGCTATTAATACTTCCTTAAAATAACGAGAGATAATTTCTGTAGAATGCTGAAAGCGATCTGCAACCACTCTATGGCGAACATTATGCCCAATTATGAATAAAAACATAGCAACATTTTCTTCCAGAAGCACATCCCTTGAGTCACTTAAGTAACTTTTCCCTCTCGACTCATTGCAAAAATTAATAAAACATGCTTTTTCCATTCGAAATAACTCGAAGCAAACTATTCCGGAGCCATTCAATCTTAGTAATAAAATCACCACCAGTTAATGCAGATGTTCGAACCTTATTATTTAAAAATTTCTCGTTATAATCGTAAACCATACCGATAATGCATAGTTCAGCTAATTCATCATCGCTTGTATCGTATGGAGATCAAAGCTACAAGCATCATTTTCTGATGAAAAATTATCAATATCCATGGTAGTTATAACCTGTCATACAACTTAGGAGGTGAGTACTAAGATAGTTAAAAAAAAAACTTGTATATTAGAGACACAATAAGTTCAGCATTGTAGGATTTGGCATTTTGTATTTTTTAGCAAAATTCTAACAGGAGCAAAATTAAATGAAGTAAACACTTATGAGAATTATTTTTAATATGCTCCATCGATTGATGTTTTTACCATCCAGGGAATAATAGATGTTTTCTTTGGATTTGAATGATCCACGAACAAATAGAAATAAAATAAAATGACGAGAGTGAGCTTACTGCATAGAGAATAAGTGGTGGATAAGGAAGATGTGGGAAATGTTGGTAAGATTGGGGTGTTCAATGAAGTTAATTAGTGTTGCATGCAAGTGAATGAAAGGTTTTTCAAACCATTTACTACTTATTTATTGTGATCAAGCCGATTCTCGGGCTGATCAAGCAGCTTCACATTCTCAGCAAGCCTAACCTCAAGCTGGCCAAGCATCAACCACAATTTAAAGAATGATGGGAATTGCTTCAGCCCTTCATTTAACAATCTCATCTCCTCTTCAATGTTTTCGAGTTCTCTCTCAACAATTGCTGATTTCATCCAGACTATTTTTGTACCTCCACTCTCTTTGGCTTTAGCCAATAACATCCGTTCTCTCTCAGGTTCATGGTTTTCAAATTCTAGCTTTAAAGCCGCAAGCCATATTTCCTCAGAATTGGGAATGGCAGCATAAGCTTCTTGGAGGATAGCGCGAGTTGTAGGCACATCTCTAGCAAGCCACTTCTCTTTGGCACCCATAAGCTAAAGAACTTCAGCGTGTGGTCTG